CTTTCCCTCATCTTCAGTGTTAAGGAATTGCTTTCAAAGGTGGTGGGGGGGAAAAGTATAATTGAGAAGCAAAGCACCACGCTTCCTCTCCTCCCTGAACAACTTCTCCTTTCAGCAGCACGAGGCACAAGGCAGGCAAGAAGCCCTTCTCCAGATGTCCGGGCGCTAAGCAGACGTGCACTGCAGTCTTGTTTTGTGCAGCTCTTGGGACAACAAGCTGCAACGACGGGTTACAGAAACGTAAGCTGTTTACCTGGAGGATGTTAAAGTTGTTCTTCATGTGGTACTGCAGTAAAGGTAAGAGGCAAAATTAGCAGCCTACTTTGAATGGAAGATTATTTATCTTCCTGAAGCCCGTAATGGCAAAGTGACCGTGACCGATACCAACACGCCAGTAACCGACCCGTTAGATAGGAACGAGCATCGCGTGGCAGGGTTCAAATAAAGCAAAATTTTAGTTTAGATTTAAATACTTGCTGAAACAGTCCAGAAGTCGTCCGTCCGTGTCCCGTGTCCCCCCCCCCCGAATGCACAGTAATGGAATAAAGATTTGGGGACTTTTTTGTTTGTGATGAAAATCCTGTCTACCTGTACCTAAGATGGCACGTGCTTGACCTTGCCACTGAGGCAGAAGCACCCAGAGCCAAACCGCACGTACCGGTTCGCCCTCCAAAAACCAACGCCATCGTCCTACCGGAGACCGTACACACAGGACAGCGTGTACAGTGAGCGTGGGTGAAGAGGCTGGCTGGGCTTGTTACAAAAGCCAGGTAAGTATGTCGTGATTAATGGGCCAGCCACTCATCCACCCAGGAAGTTGACAATTAGAAAATTTCAGGTGCAAGAGCTGCTTCAAAACAGTGCATTATTCTGAATGCTACAGGCTCACCCCTCATGGATTCCTTTTATCCGTTAGAATGAGCGGTGCAGGTGAAGTAGCATGAGGTCACAACACCAGAATTTTTCCTAAACAGAGCATCATTCTGTAGCTTCTGAGCTCAGCCAGGGATGCCGAAGTCAACGCAAGCTGAGGGTTCTTCCCATTTTGCAGTAGCGAGCACAGAGCTTGAACGTGAAGAGATTCCTGTCCAAGGATCAGAAAGTGATCTTCTTTTAAAAAGAGACTAGGATAGAGGGAGAGGAGTCTCGGCTAGAGAACGAAACAGGCGTGTTTTCCTCACTCTGCGACAGCAATCAATAGGGAACACGTTATTCTGCCGTGCCAGATTTCCTCAGCATAAGCAGCTCGTAGGGAGTTTTGTGATGGAATTTAAGTTGGAGAAAAACTGACAGAACTGCGATTTCCCAAAGGAAACAAAGCAAACATAATCTACTTTGAAAAAAACCTGATTTTATTTTTGAATTGAAGAGACCTGTCACTTTAAATAGATGTTTATTTCCATTCGTGGTCTCAACCAGTGCTGCGTGTTAACATTATTCAGAACTGTATAAAAAGCCATTTGTGTTACATCGGTTAACATCCTAGAACACTTGGGGGGTTTTTTTTTGGGGGGCAGGGTTTGAAGCAGCTTAATGTTAAAAATAGGATGTTCCCCCCAAAAAACCCAAAACTTACAACTGATGCAGCATCTTCTATTCTAATTTGATAGGAGGTGAAGCATATTGCAAATACAACTCAAGTTGTTTGGTCTCCAAAAAGGAATTTTAAAACCAGATTGCTTTCCTAGCAATACTGAGGCTGTCAGCTGAGAGAACACACATGCACTCTCACATGTGCAAGCACACGCAGGGAGAACCGCACCGAGCGCAACTGGAACACCCCGTCCAGTATCTGGATTACATACACGTTCTTCTGAATCCGTGACAGCTGTCGTTTCAAACACTAGTTGCCCTTTTTTTAATAGATGCATGGTTTCCATGGAAACCCAAGATTCTGCACAATCAGCTAACATCTATTACTCGTGGTGCTGTGAAGTTCTCTAGCGAAAGGGCCAAGTCCCAAAGCCTCTGACACTCAAACATGCACCATACTTAAGCCAATGAACAGGGGAGAAGGTGGTTTAGAAAAGGGGTTGCGGGGTCAAGGTCTAGATTTGAAAAATCACATGACAGATTGTCATTCAAAAAAAAAAAAAAAGTTTTTTAAGTCATTCTTTGGTTTATTTCCACGATTCTCAACGCTGTCCGAAAAGCCTGGAGACAGTCACATGAGAAACCATAGCTCTAATGCAAGCCCACAGCATTTTTAATTCTTATGTATTAAATGTTCAGAAGACGACAGGAATTCAGAGTACCCCTTACATTCACGTCCCCAAAAATCTAGTAACTGCTGAAGTGCATGCACTGAGGCATGACCGGCATGCCTGTAAATCCTTATCGTTCAAGTTAAGAGTAAATATAGCTGCAAAAAACCCCACCCACCTATAATTAAATGGCCATTACTAGCAATACTATAGTGACTGTCTTGTTATTAAAGAAACGCAGACACGGCTTCTGCCCCCTTGGCTCGCTCGGCCAAAAGGAAGCCGCCTGCTCGATTTAGGAAGAAAGCAAATTTTAAGACTCTAAGGGAGTTTAATATTTCCGTGTTCCTGGGGTCAATTATTAATGTAAAGACAAATGGCAAGTATATGAAAGCATCTCATACATTCCAAGGTTTGGAAGTCAAAAGCAGATCTTGACTTCCTTATGCTTAAACGTTATGGTAGGCTTGGAAAACCGGTACGAAGGGATAGAGTATGTCCGTGAACAGCACAGTCGAACTAAGCCTAGCTGGCCTTCGTACGCTTGCAGGTTTTTGCTATACTCGATGTAAGGCAGATTTCATTGCAAAGATAGTTACCAGTTCACTAGCACGAAGAAAATAACAGGCAACTCTACTCAGAAAAGATGACTGGTAATTACTAGTGACAACTTCTATTTTTCAGAACAACTCAGCTTTAATGTACTTTCTGGAAACAGCATTTTCATCACTAGTTTTCGCTTTCTTCCCCATCCCACGTTAAGTATCAAAAAATCAAGCTTGGACAAAACGAATTGTGGATATTTACCAATAAAAACATCTATTCCAATGTTATTTTTAACTGGAACAAATACAGGTCATTCTTGATAACCTACTGCCAGTGGTTGCTTGTAAGTATCTGCTTGCTGCAATAAACCCCGGTCACTGACATATTCATTTGCAGTAACTACTTGGCACTAGGTTAATATACTTGGAAAGTTTAATGGAAGTGCTTCTGATGCACATACAAGCACTTAAAATATCAGACCTTTAAAAAAAAAAAAACCTTAGTTTGGGCATTTTAAATATCTATAGTTACAGTTTTCACAAGCATTTCTGAAAGTATTAAACCTCTTCAGAAGTTGAGAGGCTCCTGTCTCAGCACATCTAAGTTTCTCAACAATTACAGAACAGCTAATTAAACATTCTTGCTCCCTATGCCGAGACAACACGGTACCAAAATTTAGCTATAAAAAGAGGCATTTTTGGTCAGACTGACCCCCAGCCGTCCCTTAACAGTAAAAGCAACACAGCTCAAACCTGTCTCCTCCCTCCAGAAAAAGAGAGACACCTAAGGCCACAAATTTACATTTGCCAGAATATCAGGTGTTTCTCTGTTTGTGGCAACTGTGTACATGCCCACGTAGAGAAATACGGTACGACAGCCCCACCACCACCCTAGGGATAAACCACCTCAGAAGCCAGTTTAGGCAGCAGCGCGTATGGAACCACATGACGTTGAAAGAGCGCATTAAAGCCATTCCAGCTAGTTAAACTAGTTTCTAACAATGTTTAGTCAAAATTCCTAATTGCAGGAAAGAAAAAAAAAATCTTAACGTAGAGAGAGGCAAAAAGATGCAAAGATAACCACCACAATGATCCAATAGCAAAAAAAACTCCTCTTTAACGGTTTTCTTATGCTAAAAAAGGCACACAACCCCTCGTGAACTAGAGACAAAAGCTAGCAGTACTACAGCAATAAACCCAGAAGAAAAAGCCTACCAGAATTACCCAATTGCCTACTGGGAAGGAACAATGAAGTAGACAGGCTGCTTTTGCTCTGTTTTGTTTGCAGGGAAGTGGTCAAATTTAATAGTCAAATTTAGCCACATTAAGAAACGTTTAACAAAAGCGACCCCAAGAAACCAGAACAAAACCTGACCTTTGGGTCAAAAGGCCACAGACAGGCCTTTCCATAGCATGTAGCCGAGTGAGTTCAGAGATTGGCAATGAAAGAAAAAAAAGCTTTAGACATGTGATGGGAACAAGCTTTGGGATTTATCGAACAGTCACACCAAGCTTCTCCAGCACACGCACTCCCTTTTCCTGGTATTCTTGTCGGGTCATCCAGAAGTTGTCTTTGTCTTTCATGATGTCTGCTAGAACTGCGCCACCTAAAAACACCATGTGCTTTCGACGGGGTGGATCTTCAATTCGGATCTTAAATTTCTGGAGATAAAGGAAATAACTGTTAACTGGGGTTCTTGAAACACAGCCTTTCAGAATAAAACTCTGCTTTCCAGCAGAGCAAAGAAATGGAAACCGTTTAGTGAGAAAAATGCAACAGAAAACGGAAACGCACTCACTCTGTGTGGGCTTCCAGCTTGCACAACCGAAGTAAAATAACTACTTTGTACTGGAAATTAGAGAGAGCTATTGACACTTCCCCCAAAATTATACTTTTAGTGTATCCACAAAAAGCCCAACAGCCAGAATACAAAATTAAAGACTGTATTTTTGCATTTCATGACACAGTAGAGTGAAATGCTTCCTATGCTTCAATGGCTAAGATTATCAGAAGTTACCAGTTCACCAAAACACAAAATATTTTAGAATTATACCAAGATTTAGAAGGGCAGATGAAACAGACTTTAAATTTACCCAATCTAGGCCAGCTTAACTAATTAATATTCCCTTAAATTCTTTGATGCTGAAGCTCTAATTCCAAGAGCAAAAATGAGTACAGGCAAAGCTATGTGTGAAATATTATCTTTGACTTAAAACACTCTGTACAACTGAGTCATTCCACATAGCTGCAAAAGATCTTCAGAGAACACTGTAATAAGAACCAGGGAAGGTCAATTCAGTTCAACATTCAAAACTCCATTCAAAGGAATGTTCTCTGTCAATCTCTCCTCCTTGGGAAGCAGGCAGCATTACACTGCAGTGTTACCTCCATAACGTCTGCGGCTATTGCCTGCTTATCACAATAATCAATGGACCAGGGAAATTTATTCCACTTGAGGGTGTGGAATAACTAACTGGAGCCTCTTGGAGTATTTTGCTTACAGCATGAACCAAAACCTCCACAGATTAAAAATAAATAAATAAATAAATTTTGCTCAATGATGACTTTAAGACCCAAAAACTCATTAGCTTTGTTTAACCTGTATTACAGTTGTGCCCCAGCATCTCTCAGCCTGTTTTACATTCAGACTAACCCAAGCCTTCAGGAATTACTTGCCATTAGCACAAACTAGAAGGTGGTTTTATTGCAAGTACCTACGCACAAGCCACCCAGACCAAACGCAGGGGCGGGAAGAAGAGAGCAGCAACAATTTGGCAAGTTGGGTGGATGGTCACCCGCAGCTTCTGTCATTCCTGACTACTTGGTTCCCTCTAGTGGGGACTGAGGGCAAACCTCGGCCTCAGGCAAACGAAGCAGTAACTCGGTACCTACCGAGAGTTTTTCCACGTCTCCTTTCAGAACCCGTTCCAGGTAGAGCTGTTTAAGTTCTCGCTCCAGTCGCGAAGGCAGCCCGGGGTACATGGTGGACCCTCCAGACAGCACAATGTGCTTGTAGAATTCAGACCTGACCAAAAAATAAAATTAGTCTTTCTCGTGCAGCATAGCACACTCTGTAGTAACCTGTAGGTAACCTGTCCATAGAAGGACATCAGTACAACTCTAAAAAATGGCCACTGCACAAAGACAGACTTTGCATGAGTTTGGTAGACTCGCTCACAGTTTTGCAGGCATCCCAGAAAGCAGCAGTAAAAAAAACCTACTGTGCTTGCAAGATTTTATCCTTGCTCATTCATACCAAAACAGCCAAGGTGGACAACCCATTAAGCTCCAAGATCTCAGAGGGAGCCCCGCTCCCACTACACCCCTTCCCCCAGCAGCACATGTGTTAGTGTCGACAGCAAAAGAGACGATGCTCTGTTTGAACGCAGTTCTTGCGTCACCCCTGCTCCCCGACAGAGGATTTCAAGCTTTTGGCTCTTACCTGGTATCAATGTCAGCAGCCTGGATGGTGTTGAACAGCAACTCAGCCACACCAACCCCCTCTACGTTGATTAAGTGAGGCTGGAAGAGAGCCTCTGGTGCCTCAAACCGTTCTCCACCAACTTTGATAATCCTGCCATCTGGAAGCTAGCGAAGAAAAAACACTACTTTTAGCCACTGGGACGCTAAGCCAACCAAGAGGAAATGACCTACATTGTTCCCTGATGTTTTAAAACAGGAAGTTGTTGATAATTGCCACCACTGCAAGAAGTCATTTAGTACTACTGAAAGGAGATACAAATGCTTCCATTTTTTGCAATTTACTCCAGAGCCATCAGGGACCAGGCACATCGATACCGACGTGCAACACATTTCTTTGTAACACAGTTCCTAAAATCAGCTTCAAATCTGATCTTACAGCAAGAGCTAACACTCTCCCGCAAGTTCTTTTCTCCCATGTTTGATCACAGGAGGTCTACCAAGTCTACCTTCTCACCACCAGATGATCGGTCTCATGCCTGTCACTGCTGGACACTGTCACGCATGGATGAAGCCGGAATAATCCGACATGCTAGAGTAAGTGAACTTTCTCTACAAGTTTCTGTACTATAACATTGGAATTTCAGGGATCTACAATGACAAAACTGAGTACAAAGTCTTAGGGAAACTCTGAAAATTAAAAACAAAAGCTTTTAAATGTTTTCCCAGAACCAAGTAATTTGATGTCTGGGAACTGAGCTACTGCCAAGAAAAATTTAGAAGGAAATCAAAAGTAAATGCTACCTGAATTCAAACCTACGAAGTGTAGGACAAGAGCAGCAGTCTCAAAACACTCACCGTGTAGGATTCAACTAGTACTGTGGTCTCTAGTGCCAGTTTCTGCTCCTGTTCAATGTTGTAGCCCACGTAACACAGCTTCTCCTTGATCATGCGAACGGTCTCAAAGTCGGCAGAATGGTTGAAAGCATATCCTCGCAGTAAGAGGAGCTAGAGGGGACATACCAGCTTAGCAGGAAATGCAAACAGCCCAGACCTCTGTCAGTAGATGGGTACATTCAACCACCTGGCTTAAAAAGCTCATCCCCCTTTTGTAACTGCAAATCTGGTATTAAGTCAAACCTGTCACAGTGTATTCATTATTCCTAGGATAGCAGAACAGCAGCAGCATTACTCCAGGTGGGAAATTTTCTTCCACATTATGACTTCCCGTATAACCCGTTAAGTGAAAGATAACCAAAGTAATTCTTAAATTTAGGACTTCAGAACACTCCAGTATTCCAGTTTACCCCAAGATGTGTCAATCCAGAGTGTCGCTGCTATTAAAAAAAGACCAACCACAACCAAACAGTCTGCAAAACGTGGTCTTATTTAACAATCAGGTAAGAATCACAACACACTTTTCCACCCTGTAAGAAAATGTTTTTCTGAAAATACGAGTAAAACTGACAAAATACAATTTTGTTTTCTTTTTTTTTTTTGTATCAAGAAAGCCAACTCTTGAGTTTTTCCTTCCCAAATATGGAATAAAATCCCTTCCCACAAGACTGTCACTAAGAAAATGCAAGGTCTCTGAATAATATCAATCATATCATATGTGATTCAAATAAGGAAACACAGAAGGGATAGACCCAAGCAATACAGCGACTACAAGAGTTCTTTATGCAATAAACTTAAGAGTAATAAAGGAAAAATGTAGAGTGGTTTCCTAGTATCAAGGGATTTCAACTTAAACCAATGTACCACAGATAGACCAGTCTCAATCATCTTAAAAATTCTTTCCAGCTTACCTTAATGAGGTACCTAGTGATATCCCTCCCAGCGATATCTAACCGTCTGGTGAGATGGGGGAGAGAGAAACCTTCATAAACTGGGCAAATATGAGTGACACCGTCTCCAGAGTCCACAACAACACCAGTCAACAAACCTAAAAGACGGGGGGTGGGGGGAAGTACAACTTTTATTAGCACCTTCATAAATACAGCAGTATAGTAGCAAGTTTAAGAGAGAATTTTTCATTGTAAGCTTAACACAACCTCTATTACCCCAGTCTTTGTTTGGGGAAAAGAGTCACAATTTAAAACGCAGTTATTTCCATTCAGCTGGATTTTAAACTTCAGATTTTCACAGTAACAAATGCTTGCATATACATTTTTTTTTAAAGTATTACCTCTACTTTTTCCTAGATGCTCATAACTCTACCATTCACAATTCTATCTGGTGTTTCAACATCTTAAACTGCACTCTAATTAAAAAAATCCTCCAAGATCATTAAATGCTTGTGGGGGCACAAATCCCTCCTCAGATTCAGCTGCATATGTGCAACCTCATATTCATTTTTCAAATATGAAGAAACCTGGAGGTATTCACGCTACAAGTTTACTGTGTCACGATTATTAGGACTTGTTGATTTTGGCTGGTATTCAAACAAACAAAACAATGCTTTCTTAAGGTGGAGAATATTTGGACTATACAGCACACATCTAAGGGTTTTTTTTTTTCCCCTCAAAGAAATAGCATTAGGCTGAATCAGATCCACTTTCATGGGCCAAGGAAATTAACTCTGGTGAAAAAAGTTTACAATAAAGCCAATAAACCTTAAGGTGTACAAAACTGAGATACCATAAGTGAAACAGAAGTTTCTATACCTCGCTGAGAAAATATATAAGAAAGGTGCAAGTTGATTAGAAAACAGTTCTATAGTTTCTCAGAAGGTACCCAAAGCAAGAAAATATGTTTTAAGGGGAGACCTTAAACTAACGAAGGAACATTTAATATGTAATGGCAAGGGGTGTCAGTTTGGCTATTGTAATTTGCTCAAACTTTGTCAACAGGAGGCAAACAAATTGGCTATTTGCCTCGATGGACCAGAGAACCCACCTTGGTTCAGCTGTGTGACCAGATCTTCAGATTTATTAGCGACCTGGAATAACCGCTAGGCAAAACACAAGTCTTGCAATCGGACACACGCAATAAGGAAGGAAACAGTCACAAGGGGCTACACCTAACTCCAAAGACTGCTGTGAGGAACTGCCAAAGAATTTCCTAATTAGAACTAGGTTTTGATATATCAACCCCTTTGCCTTTAAAAGGCACAGGAGCACACAGAATTCCAGGTAAAAGCAATGATTATTCTAAAGAGAGTTTTAACAGCCCCAAGAAAACATGGTGTGCTAAAATGAAGCACATCTCTCTAATTTTAGCCACTACCCTAATCTGTAAAGTAATAGAGAACTTTAAAGAGCTTTTCTTTATTTTCAAAAGCAAATGTTCTATTTATGTGCCACTTTGGTTTTGTATTTTAGAAAGTCTTGGACTTTCTTTTACATGACAGCTTGTAGAAATACTATGGCTGGCTCGACGCTGGTTTACATTTTGATATTCACAAAGTAATCAAGCACTATACAGTAAAATACACGTCCAATAACAGCAGAACCTCAGGATATATATATTAGACAAATACTTACAAAGAACCAAACCAAAAGAAAAAACAAATGTGGGAGAGAGAGTAGTAGCACAGATCACAGCAAATAAAATTCATATCCCTGTCTGCAAAGGCAGTTTTGCTTCAGCTGCTTTCAGTGACTTGCCTAACAGAACCACTCTTGGAGTACCCTACCACTTTTTGCTCTTGGAGACTGAAACTACAGCGACACATTAACAGACGGGGATATTTTATCTTCCAGTGTGTGACAATTAAATACACCAAGCCATGACTTGACAGACGTAAGGAGTCACATTATAAGAACTCCTGTGCTTGAGCAACTTCTGAAAATCTTACGAGGGATTGCTGTCAATGGTAGAATCTCTCTCCTCAAGCTGAGGATCATTTATTCTTGTTTATCTGCAGTTCAACTTGTTTGAACTGAAAACAGTGCAAAGTCACCTAGTCAGCTGCTTGAAATTCAGTTATGGTAATAATTTTCTCCTTGATCAGAAAAATCAGAAGCAAGACCTCAAAACATGCCAAAGGTGAAATGACTACACCCAGGTTTTTTGCGTTTACAAGCGTGTCTCCACGGCTAGTCCCCAAAAATAACAGCAGCAGTGGTTATGTATCAGCAGTTCCTCAAAACAAAAAGCAAGCCCGTAAGAGAGAGCTGAGCTTGCCTACAGCAGTGTTGAATTCAGCCCACTTTAATACCATACTGGAACTCTGGCTCAGCAACACATTTATAAACTAAACAGATTTTAAGTTATCTTTGCCTACCTTGAGCATACAAAGTAAGAACAGCCTGAATGGCTACATACACCCCAGAAAACTGGTATGTCTCAAACATAACCTGTAAGATTAAGGCAAAAATTAACGTCCAAAACAGGCCAAATGCTTAAAAGACATTTCATATGTTTGAAAACTGTCATTTCATTAATTGTGTAGTTTTACTAATCAAAACCACTTTCCAAGAAATTTCACCACACAGATTCTACCCCAACATCAGAAACCTATTTGCTTTAGGGCAGTTAAGTAGCACATTCGGTTCTATACCTTACCTGTTCACGCGAGATGAGCTGTATGAAATACTCCACATCCATTTAGCAACGGAAATGAATACTTTCAAGAAAGCAACACACCAATTTTTGCAGCTTTACTAAGCCATATCCCAAGTGCTTAACGAGCAAGAGGCAGTACTTGTAGACCAGCCAAGCACTTCATTCCTCAAGTGTGCCTTGGGAATGAAATCTTTGTGAAAGGGGTATGTTCTAAAAGTAATGAAGTTCACGGGTTTTTATTCTTTATATCAAACCTACAGACTTTGTACAACGGCAGACCATGTCAAGTACAGACCAAACAGTCTCTTAGGCATACGGGCCTAGAATAAGGCCAGTATCACAGATTGTTCTCTGCATCTGGGCCGTCTTCTTCCCATCTTTAGAGCACAGCTGATGACAAACTTCTAGAATTAGTGCAAAATCCACTACCACTGAAATAGGACAGGTGGGGCTAATTCTGTGACTGCATAGCGAAAGCACAGGTTTGCAGAACTCGTACGGAAGCGTGGGAAGTAACTGCCTGTCTTCCAGACGAGGTTCTCCCAACCACTACATTAGTTTCAGCAAAGAAACAGAGCCTAAGATTAAAGGACACAGAGTTTATAGAATGTTGTCTTCTTCATAAACACAAAACAGGCCAAGTAAACAAATCGTACTCTACAGCAGTTTTCCCCTCAAACAGCTTTACCAGGAAAACCGGATGAACTCTGATTATTCCAGCACATACAGAAGTTCTCCTTTTGCCATTCTGAAACTTCTAGGATCAGAAACAGATTAAATCCCAAGTACTCCCACAACTCAAGTAAAAGATATCTAAATATTTTTAAAGAAAAAAAAACAAGCTGATGCTTTACAATCTTAGAATTCCAACCTACTTAAAACCCTCCTCTGTTAGAATAATTTTAAACAGCTGGCCCACATCAAAAGCCTTGCAAAGTCACATTAATTATTTCACAGCTGCATCGAGAACACTGCAAAACCCCTGGGGAGAGTGATCCCGCCTTTCTCGGGGCATTTGCTGTGGGCACCCAGTATTGCAGAGGCCAAGCAGAAAGGAACACGCAGGGGGGCAGACGCAGAGCGCCCTGCCGCGAGGGCATCACTCTCCGGGCTTTCAGAGGTTTCCAGTGTGAACTGGGTAATATAAAAGGAAACTTAATACAGCGGTCAGGTGCACGGGCTAAGAACGAGCAAGATATTTCAAGTCTTGCTAGTAACTTCCACACCGGCCACAATTTAGCAGACACACAACACCTCCAGAAACAAGAAGCGGAAGCGTCTGCCAGAAAAGGAAGAGCTGAAAGGGCAACAACTCAAAGAGAGACTCAGTCTGAGTAGTCAGTGCCTAAAACCAGCACTGTTCAGTGCATGAGTCTTTCATACAACCTGAGTGCTTGCTAAATTAAAACCTGATTTAAGAAAAATCTAAATTCATACAACATAGTGAATATTCAAAAAGCACTAGTTACTGCCTTCACATCCTGTACTAAACTCCAGAAGCCACTGCAAAAACCTTTTACAGCCTATATGCAGGCCTTTGGGGGATTGCTATTCTATCTTTAGAGACATCTAGGTCTATTCTGTTTGGCATGGAAAATACCTTGACGTGGGACATTTATGTTGACAAAACTTTAGATGTAAACACTGAGCAGGATGTTCTCCTGAGAAGATTATTCTTCTCGTGACAGCAGCTTTTGGATTACCTACAAAGCAGTGTTCTAATGGGACAGAAAAAGGAAAAAAATACAAATTGGGGGAAAAAAAGGAAAGTAAAGACTGAGTTTGGGATTAGGATAAGCAACTGCTAGAGCTGCAGTCTCTACAGCTACATGATATGCCAGTACAGTCTGGCTGCTCCTAAGGGTACTACAAAATGAGAATGCAGCCGATAACTAGAGACAAACAAACAGCAACCACCCAGTTAAGCTGAGAAGCAACCAGTCCTGCACACGCTACGAAAGAAACTGCACTTTTTAAACATATATTTTAGGATATAGCTGCCCTGACGACGTAGCAGAGTTTGATGGGGCTACAGGGCGAGGAAAGAGAATTATTAGAAGTAGAATGAAATAGGCGTATATAGTTATCTAACCTTTCAATACGGTCAAGGTAACAAAGCTCTTGGTTTAAAATGCTACTGCACTGTATCACAAAAGGCAGAGACATTATTATGTTTTCTGCAGGCTTTATGAAAAATCGTAATTCAGTCCTGCTCTTCCTACCGGGCTAGCCGCCCCGGAAAGGAAGAGTCCGTGTCAAAAATGGAAGGGGTGTAAGTATGTTGCAGTTAAAAACTCAGTATAGCTAGTCTTCATGACACTGATCCATTCAAGATATTAATAGAAACAATGAGCTTCTGTTTAACTCAAATTCAGTTTACAAAAACGGATTCTAGGTCTCCCTAATTCTCTGGATTACGAGTATGTACAACATCTGGAGTAGTTAAAAAAAGAGTAAACGGAGCAACACAAATATTTTATCAGACTTCAGAAGCCATACAAGGCTCTTCAATCTATGGTATAAAATTACTCAGTACCAGAGTAACTAAAACCCAGCCTTTTGTGTTTAGCAGGAAAACAGAAACAAGAACACTATTGTAGACAGCTGAAAAGCAAAGAAGCCTGAACAGGAAATTTTTTGCTACATGGAGGCCACCCAGAATAATCTGCTGTGTCTATCACACCACAGCTGACTGATATACAATAGATGGTATGACTAAAGTTGCATTACATAATACTCAGGGAATAGGTCCCTAACATCCACAATTGCTAAGAAATGCTGCATTTAGATTGCACAGTTTGAAGTTTTCCCAACTTTGCTATACTTCACTTGCTCCCGAGTCACTGAAAGAAAAGATTAGCGCAACTATACTTAGTGCCACGTTGCAGAAAGCACTACCGTGGCTGTCGCAACAGAAGGTTTTTAAAGGGAATGGCAGCAGGTAATGACAAAGGTAAATTCTTATTAGACTAAGCAAGAGATTTGGGGAAAAAAAATATACATACACAGAGTTCTGATAAATGGATAAGGTTTCAGACTTAGAAACCACTTTTCCTGCCCTATTAGCTACTCTCACAACATATTAATTACGCTTTTGTTACGCTGAGTACTTGCATTAATTGGAAATAATTATGATGCTGCAGGGGGAGGGAGGGAAACTAAACTTTTGTTCTCCTCAAATGTTACTGCTCTTCAAAACTGAGTCCTTGTCGTAGGGTACTAGAGCTAAACCATATACATCTGACCACCTACATTAATGCACGGTTCAGATGGAGCTTGGGTCACCCAGGGCAGCACTGTGAGATCGAGGATCCAAGAACCAGGCTTTCCTTCTTAGAAGGCTTTCATTGGTAATCCCTAGCATTAATCAAAGTTTAGTGAATCGGTTGTCATCACACCTTTGTCTCAGCTACCTCCAACACCACTGCTCCATCTGGTAAGCATCATGTTGCTCAAGCCCCAATCTCTTCCGAAGCATTACTGGCTTACAGAAGTCCAAGTCACTTACAAGTAATTAACATCCATCCAACAGCTAGCAATTGGCATTTCTTTGATACATGAAGATAAACCTGTATTTCCAATTCTGTGGCCTACTGGTGATATGACTTGAGACAGAAAGCCTGCTTATAGCTTTTGAATGAGATCAGCTTGTTTGAATTTAAGCACAGTAGCCTTCATTACTACGGCTGAGGACCAGCTTTGGTTAGAAGACAGGAGAACTGCTTTGCCTCAGACAGTTACCAGGTGTTCCAAGAAGTTAAAAACTCCTAGCGATGCTTCAATGAAAGTATATATCAGTTTCTAGACAGACATACCTCCACAATCTTCTCCCTGTTTTTAGTGGGATTCATGGGAGGTTCTGTAAGTAGTATTTTACAATTTTTTGTGTCAATATTAAGTTTTTCTGGTCCAAATGTGTAATCCCAGAGGTGCTTCATATCATCCCAGTTCCGAACTATGCCATTCTCCATTGGATAATTCACTTCCAGCATTGAGCGTAATTCACTTGCTTCGTCACCAACCATGAGATCCTGTAAAATTTTAATAAGAAAGTACGTTAGTGCTTGCAGGCTTTTCCAAACACCAAAATCGTCAAGAATGACAGTGAACTGCTCCAGCCCGTGTCCAACTGTGTTCTTAAACAACACCCACACTTTAGAATCATTTTCAGGTACTTAGGAGACAAGCAGAATATAGTTCATGTAGTATTTAAATTTGGCTGATACTCATCCCAAACCTTTTCCACAATAAACTTTATTAATTCCATTTCTCCAATTAACCTTAAACCAACCAATAAACCCTGTTCTGGCTAGATACCACAATGACCTTTAGAAGTACAGATGTTTCTCCACTGACATCTCCAAAATTCTTTTATCAAATACTGATTTTTAAGGGCTGAGATGCAAAGTAGCACATAAGGGTAGTAGGTGGGATTGGCAGGATATTTTTCCATGCATGTTGCAAATTTCTGTGCACAATACCAAAAAAGGAATAATGAGTGGTGAAGAAGCATACCGAACAGTAGCAAAAGCAAATAAGAGATTAGAAGTTCCACGCTAGACATTAAAAGAAACAATGGTTTACATATTGCCTATGTCAGTAGGGTGCAAAGAGACACATCTACATATAAAATATACCCTTGTCTGTTCCATGCCAAAAGTCCCAAGCCAAAAACCCCAGTAGTGCATTCTCACACAAACACAACCAACTAATGCATAGCTTCTATAGTCATCACACTGATTAAGCAACCTGTTTATCCAAGTTAGTTATGTGAACACTGCACATTCAAATTAGTAGCATCACATCTTCTCCTTTCCCACGTATTTCCCAGAGGAAGTTTGCACAGTAACATCTTATCTTCCCTCCCTACAATATCCCACACTTTTCTAAAGAAGCCTTAACGGACTTGCTTGTGTATTTAGCCTATAAGAGCGTATTTCTAGATGCCGACAGCACTGTTTCCATACTAATATTAATTTAACTGCAAAAACCCCAAAAGCTTCACACAAAAATATGCCACCACAGTTGGCGGTTGCCGTGGCACAGAAAACTTGGAAGTGAGGTTTGCCCAACCTCCTATTCAATACTAGGGGGGAAAAAAGATGCACAAGAAAAAAACCCCGGCATTCAGTTCATAATGCCTTTTTTAGAAGTAACCTAAACAGTTACAGTTGACTACGTAAAAAGGAAGTTAGCTGGAAATAGTTTAAATCAAACCATTCCTCTTCCAACCTCTCTCGCTCACAAGGCGTGTTACTTGTTTTCCCTTGCCCAGATCACACTTGGGTTCCCTCAAACTGTGCAGAAGTAAAGACTCTTCACATTTGCAATCAAACGTACCCTAGTGAAACCGTACTGTGAGAACTCCACCATGCCACTCTTGAGAACCTCAGACAACACAAACTCCACCAGTTAGGGGAATCTGAAACCTGCTTTGTGCACTGTTCTTCCAGGCTCTGTGCTACCAACCAGGATGGCCCAGGAAAAGGCCCTATTCAAATGTGATTGCACAAAACTCTCCGGTCCCTTTAAAACCAAAGTTAAAGGGCAGAACAGTTGTTCTCAAGAGCACAGTAACAAGCGTGCGCGCTTAGCAGGTGAAGAGGGAAAAGGACAGCACAACTGGATTTGCAGAGAGGAACCCATGCCGTGACATTCAACGTTTCCACCACTTTGGTAATCAGTCTTAAAAAAAAAAATGCTTTTTCAAGCCCTTGGTTTGTCATGTTAAATATAGCAATTTTTACTGTTAAAGATGCTGAGCTCATGTTATCTTTAAGACTTATTCTTACACCTTGCAAAACTACAGGTTACGTAGCGTTTGGGAGCAATACATTAAATATTCTCATGAATTAGTTGCTAGTAAACCAAAGCAATGAACAATGTCCAAAATAAGTATGTATTCAAATGTAAAATGTAGGACCAGACGAAACAATGAATAGCATCAAAAAATAACATAACAGCTACTAGGTCCCATCAAGCAAAAATGGTAAACAAACAGCACAGGGGCACCTCACTTACCATCTTTTTGTTATTCTACTTCAACAGGTCAAGAAAGGTGAAGAAAGAAGGTAGAAGCAAGAAAGTCAGAAAAGGCCTAAATGAAATTCTCAAATTATTTTAAGTACACAGTAGAAATAGGCTGAAAAGAGATGCACGTACAGTGGGAAATGATCTGAGTTAGTGCAGTTAGGGCCAAGCTAACATTCTCAGGATCTCAGTTTAAAATGTCTGTTCAAAGGAAGGTATTGCTACACGTCACTGGCATGTCACGTTTATGCATCTCAGGTTGCAAACAAGATCAGCCTCTCTGCCTCTTCCTCATAAACAGGAGTCTGTGCATAAATATTCTGGAACACTGGAGTTTTACCCTGGGCAAGGTGTTTACACAGACAAGACTCGGCACGAGGCGCCTGACCGTAACAAGTTCTGACAAATGCTAAATTTTAATTTTGGTTTAAATATTCTGCTTTAAATACCCGAGAACTGAAAACTGTAACATACAAGTATACACCTATATGCAGGCTAATATGTTCATATAGTATAGAACAAATACCCAGAAAGAATCAGAGAGATATTTACTTAAATTATGGCATCTACTCTCAGAACAGAAATAAGCAATCATGAAGTGCAGTAGTGAGAGCAGTGTCTCAAAGCTCTTGCCCTGTACTTAGCTATGGAGGGAGGAAGATAAGATAATTAAAGCAGTCGGGAAGCACTAGGAGATCTTTGAGGCAAACATCGACCAAAATTGTACTAAAGCCATCTTCACAATTACTGAGGTTTTTCTTTCTTTGATTAAATTCACTTTGAATCACCCAGACTGTTAAAAGCTGTAAGGTTAACAGTGCAATTGAGGCAAATCTACCTATTTTGCAAACGGTGTCTGAGGAAAAGCTTGTAGAGTCTCTGGCAGCTGCCTCTGCACAGGCAGTACCAAAGAGGCTGGTCAGAGCGCAGCCCTCTTCTCACCTCAAATCCAGCAAACGACCTTCTCTGGGCTGTCTTCGGCAGAAACTAGCAGAACTGTAGGACATGCACTACAGCTCAGCAGGTCTGATCTGCCTTAAAATCCTAATTGTTTCAATGAGTCAAAGCTACTCATCAGTCCTGCCTTCCTAAGGAGGTTAACAAACCCCTAACCTGCGGCAAAGATTAGTAAAAACTGAGAGCAGCACCTATGCTTCTGGTCTTAAGGTCGCAATTTTAAGCAAAATAATCCCAGGATTAACTGATCTTCTGTGTTTATATTCTGAACTGGGGAGACCCAGTAGCAGAAAAAGCTATATCCCTGCTGCTGGCTGAAATTACAGTCCAGAAGGAAAACAGGGACAAAGCAACTTTCAACCAGTAACTCAACAGATGGGTGATAACCACTGTTTTGATCAGCCTCCAAACTCTTGACAGAGTTTTTGAATTTCACCAGAATGACAGCTTTTCTGGATAGTTTTGAAAAGTTAAACTGATAATCTTCTTGACAGCTTCCTTTACTCAGTTTTAAACTCGTCCCACAAGAACTTGCAGCGAAAGGCTAGAATTAAATTTTGGGGTAAAACTCCTCTGCTAAATACATTTGTTAGGAATCCGCAAGGATCTCACAAAGAAAACCTGCACTCACACTTAACAAGTCTTCTTACTGTATTCTCCTACTGCATCATCCTACTGGGATACCCAAAGTATCCGTGGCAGGGATTTCTTCCCTCAGTAGAGTTTCCTTAAGAAAGGGTGACAAGCTATTATAGGCAGATGCTATAAAAATTCTAGGAAAAATCTAGGTACAGTTTATACCCTAAAATAGACCCATGTGGTCCATGCTCAAGCAACACGTGACGGGCAACGCATGCCAAATTACAGTTTACTGGTCCTTCCACACTCATGTCAGCAATACCCACATCCACCTCCTATCTTTCCAACTCAACTCTGTCACCTGTAATATTAAACCAAGTTATCAGATAATCAGAGGATACCAAAACTGGCAGGACAGGCTGTATCAGATCAGCTGGAAAGAAAAATGACATCTCTTCAACAATGAGATTTCATGCAAGAGATTTTTTTTTCTTGGACTTAGGACTGCACAATCACTGCACAGCCTTCATAAAACTTTACCAGGACCTCCTCGAAGAAATTCTCACACTAAGTTCAAGTAGATATCTGAAGAAACACCTCTCCAAGTCTTGCAAGATAAAGGCAGATGTTTTCCCTCTCCTTAAAAAAAGTCCTGTCTACTGTGACAGGGAAAGATCTCCATCCTTCTGACCAAAATGTCCTAGCTGACACAAGGTAAGCAGTATTGCAGTATTTAAAAAAACCACCAGACAACATTTTGGAAAGGTCTGATGTCTTTCACCCTCTTGACTTCCCAGTATGGCCTTCTGCTGACACTACTGACTTCTAATGGGCAGCAGCAAAAATCAGGTAACTGCTGCTCTTCTTGTTGCCCGTAGGGTTCTGAAAATAAGGAACAAGACTGGGCAGATTTTTGGTTTTCCTTTTACTAAGCTGCTTCTCAGAAGCCACAGGGAAAGCCAAATTAAAACCCTGTACGTGTGTGGTTCTATTTGACCTTCACTGTGAGGGCTTCTACAGTTCTGCATTGCCTCCTGCTTCTCCCTCAGGTTCCTGCTTCTGCCTTGCTCTCCAATTGGTGCTTGCACAACTGTCTAATGAGGCAGTCAAAACTTTACCTGACAAAGAAATCGCTCGTTTTCAGCTTGGTCACTGAAGGGGCTCACCTCATGACTGCACAAGCAGCACGACCAGCACAAGGTGAGAACGTGCAGCTGGAAGCAAGGGGGAAGGATGTGACCACAGCAGGGCCAAGGCATTCACTGAAGCCTGTGTTGCAGAAGCAACTACTAACATCTAAAGCACTACTCTCTAATTACAAAAAAAAGCGAGAAATTATAGCTCCCCAGACTTCAGAAAAAGATTCTCAAACCGTTGTTCCCCCCCATTCCAAGCTTGGAATAACATCCCAAGACAAAGTAGCCTGAGCACAGCCTCTCCATCTCTAACTGATGTGGAATACCTATGCCTCGCAACAGAAAAAAGAAAAAAAAAAATAAAAGAAAAGAAAAGCAATAGAAACAATGAAATGCAAACACAACCAAGGTTAAACATCTCACACAAGATCACAGATGATCAACTGTGAGCAGAAAGCAACAGTATAGAAAGACCTGGAAGCTCCAGCAGTTGTTCAGCATTGTCTGAGAGTCTCAGAGTACAGCTCAGTAACAAACATCAAGCACTTCGGTGGGATTTCTGCCTCCTAATCTGGACATCATTCACATATGGCCATTTGAGGACCCTTTTTGCCCAGAACAGTTTGAGCCCTACCTGCTGCCTTCTATCTGAAGGCCTCCAGTGCTTTAGATTACCCTCTTAGTAACTCTGTGACAGGCCCAGTACAGAAATTATCATTCTTAATCTGTCAGAAAGGAATTAACAATGAAAAAAATTTACCTTGATTTCAATGTTTCCCACTTTAGCGGTTGATCTTATAATGGGTCTTCCAACCAAAGCTGGAAAAATGTGCTCCGGAAAATTTGAGCCTGCATAGCCACATTTCACAAACTGAAAAGGAATAAATAATTTTATTAGAATATACATCACTCTTGTTTAACAACAGAAACCTGGTTGGGGTTAAAAAACTGAAAGCCCAGATGTAAGAGCATGTGTCCCACTGGAAACCAATAGGATTTATACTTTCAAATCAATTTCACACGTTTCAGATGATACACGGTTGTGTAAAACTGAATTACAGTATTTTCCAGGATGCTTTCTGAATCAGACTCTGATTTTTGAGAAACTATAGTAAAACGACTACGTACACCGAGAGGTCCAAATAATAATATTAAAAAAAAAAAAAGGAGTTCAGTCTGAATTTGGATTTCGTGCCACTATAAAATCTCTAGCAACCTTAAATCCATCATATTATAATGGATACCCTTATAACGCAAACGAGACCAAACGAATTTGCCTCTGCAACTGGAGCACACGGTAGCATGATGAATTACACATCAGAAACAAAAAACACCTCTGTCAATTCAGGTGTTACGCTGTTGTAACAAAAATGTTTTAGCAGTGAGATAGCAGATAGCCTTTGCAATTCAGATGGGTTTCTGAGAGTTTCATTAACTGTGTGGGTCTCTTTTACAGATACGAGTTTGCAGCACGTGCATCTAAAACCAACAGCACAACCAAAACCTCAGCTGATGGCAGCTCACACTGAACGGGATACTCCGAAAGGGTGTTTGTTAGACAAACACGTACAAAAGGAAGCTTCATATAACCAGGTGCCAAGACAGTATACACACTGAGAAAAGAGTCAGGATTAACTGAAGGTAAAAATATGTATAGATACAGTCACAAGAGGAAGCTGAACTGTAAAACAGGAACTTTAAACGTGCCAGCAAGAAGCTACAATTTTAGCTAATGGGATCAGCAAATGAGGCTCTTCGGCCATCCTACTCCTTCACACACCATCGGACATTCTGCTTGCAGCTCATACGGAGCAGGCTTCTCTCCTGTTCCGAGGTACGCCTTGCGTACTGTGCTACATCAGCATGACAGAACAAAACCCTGCAGCCCCAAACGAAACGTTACGCGTTTTTATCCGCAAAATTACTCAACCATCTAGGCCTCCCAGCAGTAACGCAGCACCACAGGATCATTCAGGATGGAGGGAACCTCGGGAGCTGTCTCGTCCAACCTCGGGCTCAAAGCACTCAAACACTGAATTCGGCCAGTTTGCTTAGGGCTTGGACCCGTTGGGCGTTGGAAGCCTCCATGCACAGACAATTCATAACCTCCCTGCGACCCTGTCCCAAAGCTTAATTATCCATTTCAGGTTACGAAAAGCCACCTGCTAGAATGCCAAAACGTCCTCCAAGTTTTCTGACGTGAGGGCTGAAACAAGTAGCACATCGGAGTACAGTCAACTGTAGCTGAGGGGTTTCTGTCACACCAAGGTCACCTTCTGCTGCCCCAAATTATTCGCCTTACCATGGTAAAAAAGGCACCTGTTCTGGAAATAAATTTATAAAGCCAGTTATGGAAAGAGTCAAGAGACATTTTAAGTAAAGCTGAGCTAATATGGGGGGGGAGGGAATTTTCTTGCTTTTGTGACCCTAGCTTCTTTCACCCATTCAGTGCTTGCTGTCTCCAAAGGCGGAGCTGTTCGGAATAGCTGAACAATGACACTGTGCATACAACTCACTTCACTCATTCTACTTCCACCGAGTGCTCCGAAAAGGCAAGTACTTATATTAAGGCCAGAATTCCTAGGAGTTATAGGGATCTTATCTCTGTATTCAAGAATGCAGTGCTGCTACCAGAAAGCAGAGTAGCCACAAGTATTTCTGGATCATACCACCTGAATACACCAGAAGTTTTATGCCAGAGGAAACACATGAGACATTTTGAAGGACTGAGACGAGTTCAAATAACGGTGTCCAAAATAAATATATGAATACAAACACAAACCAAAACAAACAAAAAACCCCACTCCCCCTCAGACTTCGCAAACTACTGCATTCAGGGCAATCACACAATTTTTGTTGCTAGTATAAAATTTAGGTATGCTTGATACAAATTCCATTGTGCAGGACCTAGTCAAGCTAGAAGGAAGTTCTATAAAACAGTCCATACAATTCCATACTCCAGCTTAGGGTTCTATAAATTACAACAAGAAGCGCCTCTGCATAGCCCATGCACCTTTGCACCCATATATTTGCTTCCAAAACAAACAAAAAACCTTCCCCCCATCACGAAGCAACTTCCCTACCAGTCAGCACCAACTGTGCTGGTCAACAGAAGCAACAGGACCAGTAACAGAATCACAGACTGGTTTGGGTTGGAAGGGACCTTAAAGACCATCCAGTTCCAACCCCCCTGCCATGGGCAGGGACACCTTCCACTAGACCAGGTTGCTCAAAGCCTCATCCAGCCTGGCCTTGGACACTTCCAGGGATGGGGCATCCACAGCTTCTCTGGGCAACCTGTCCCACTGCCTCACCACCCTCTTCAGGAAGAACTTCTTCCTGATATCCAATCTAAACCTCCCCCCTTTCAATTTAACCCCGTTCCCCCTTGTCCTGTCACTACAGGCCCTTGTAAAAAGTCCCCCCCAGCTTCCTGGTAGCCCCTTCAGGTACTGGAAGGTGCTATAAGGTCTCTTTACAACTCAAGCTACCAGAGCACCCCTCAAGAAGCTCTGCTACCCACACTCCTAAACCCTGACATCTGGGCAAATAAACCCTGAGATTTGTATAGCAACCACTGAGATATGCAACCAAAATGACTACTACACAAAATCAGTACGTGCTTCTTGGCTAACCTTAAAAATACCTATTGAAATCACGTACAGCTACGTTGACCTAGAAAACGCTGGCCTACAAAAATACTACTCTAAGTTCTTACTGTTTGAACTGCAGTAGTAACTTCCAGCCCCTTTCCACGTTGAGACCGTGACACACCTTCCTGGGAAGTTAACCATGCTGGCGATTAACAAATCCTAGATATTAAAAACAGATTGTCAGTTCTCCAACCGGCCTAAAACACAGTCAAAACCAGATTTAATCTACGTGAACTACAGTGAGTAGGATTGAGCTTGGACATTTACAGTCTGTTCCCTACCTCCTTCAGGCCAGCACAGAGACTAAAAAAAAAAAAAAGAAAAAACACACCGCACATTTTTTACAGCATTTTTTAAACTCAGCAGTAGATAGGAGGGACAGATTTTTAACTCTGTCTCCTCCCCCTCAAATCTGAAATTTCCCCCTCCAGGCTACAGGGAACTTTGGTGAAGATGAGAACAAGTCAGCCTCGTACTTCAGCTTCCCCATCAACGAGAGCATGCCCACTGCAGTATTCCCCCTGTCGTGATACTGAACGTTCGGCTGGTTTGGTAGGTTTGTGACGACGTAACATTCGGTATTATGGCTGAAGAACCAGACTCAGTAAAACTACCAACAGGTAAAGGCACCTGGGTTGGGGAAATCCTAA